TTTGGTATCTACGTTCGCATTGCATCACTGATGGGCTTCACGTGGATCTTTGGATTTGTCTCTCCGTTTGATTGGCGTTTGTCGTATCCATTCRTCATATTGAGCGGCTTACAGGGTGCGTACATTGCCTTGGCTTTCCCCCTCAGTAAACGGGCCAGGAGTCTCTATAAAGAGTTGTTGACGGGCAAGTCTTCTTCTCAGGACACAACGGTTAATTCTTCCATCCCAAGAACAAAAGCTCAAGAGTCAGGGTGTAGTAAGAACTCAAGCGATACGAAGCTCTGAACATACCCAACACTCACAAAGACTCTCTTAATGAATAATCACATTAGTTGGCTGAATAGAACAAATAATGGAACCTACTTAAAATTATCTTGCATGTGAGGCAAACATAAAAATGGAAAAGAAATCACACCTTTTCTCGATGGAATTTGTGGTATTTCTTTTGTATTTCCATAATAGCCTTAAATTCAAGATAATTTGAAAAGTGTCCATTTGCATTATAGAGTGCAAAAAAATAGTAAGGAAAATATATAAATACCGTGCAATGATTACCTATTTCAAATCGTGCACACCTACTTGCAAGAACGTTGTCATACGAAAATAGAACATTAGTGATATAGTGGGATAGGAATTATATTAAAAAACAAAAGAAGATCACTAAAGCTGAACGTTTTCTTTTGTCTTTTGATGTATCCCTTTCTCACTAAATTACTAATGTTCTAATATCGTATGACAACCTTCTTGCAAGTAGGTGTATGACTTCCCATAAACATGTTTTTTGTTGGAATGACAGCTGATGATATATGTCTTCACTCGCGCCGTAAAGATTAAACAAAAACTAAATTATAAAGAGGATGAAGCTTGAAGATATAACTGACAGTTCGTTGGTTATACGAAAACATGAGTTAGTGAGAAATTTCGTAATTGTTTAATGTTAATCAATTATCCATTTTCTAATCTCACAAATAGAGCGAGTGCTCTTTTCTGCCTCCATCTCATACCACTTTTAATCTTTCAATTTCTTTTCCAATTTGATAAAACAGCTGGATTCAGCTGTCTTGTGTTCKTATGGCACTTATTGTACAAAACAAGTCTTTTTACAGTCTTTATCGTTATTGGTTAGCGTAATGATTGTGAGCGGATGAGTGCCTTATGACGTCCTAACTATATATGGTATAGAGGATATAATGTATAAACGCGATCACTAATAACCTTGGCGTAAATTTTCGAATCTTAAGAGCAATCCTCATTGATAGAAAAATATTACAAGGTTACAAGAAAGCTCAACACTGAATTCCCAGAGATGTATGACGTTTATAAAGTGTTTTTGTGCGTGATAAGCGTGTCGTGTTTTAGAGTGAATAACGCACAGCTACCAGACTYGCAACATCAAAGAACGAAGGATGGCGAGTCGTCTAGAAACTTTTCAGGCTCTCTATACAATCAAGAGGCCCAGGCAAAGCAAGCAAATATCAGTGCAAGTCTGCCTGGAAAAGGTAATGAGAACGTGCTTGATTTATCACTATTTTAGAAAAATTGAAGTTCTTGGCTGATATTTGCATTCTTAAAATGAATGAATCAAGGCGACCTCTAAAACAATTTTCACTCCCAACAAAAGCCACAAGAGAGTCAAAAGGGAAAAAGTATAGCAAAAGAGGAGCAATGGCTAATATCATTACATCATTGTCTTTGAATTCCGTGAAATTCTGATCRAAATACAAATTACTCTCATGTTTATCAGTAATCGGGATTTGACTTAATTATCACCACTCATGCAAATATGATATTGTGTTAGTAATATTAATTAAAACTACTTTCTAAATCTAAAAAAAAATACTTAAGATAATGACCAATGTAATATATATGTATATGAACTGTCTTCTTTGAAACACTTTTTTTTAATTCAAGTTTTCAAGTTTTCAATCTTACTTTTGTGAGAAAAAGAACTGTCTTTGCATGTTAAACTTAAGTGTACTTGAAA